GCGTTTCTCAGACGCTACTGGACTTCCAGTCTCCTGAAAGCACCGCAGGCACTCACCGCCGCCCTCCTCCCGGCCCTCCCAGCGCCCACCCGGTGGCACTCCCCACGCACCGCCAGCCACGGTGTGGGTTTCATTATGGCAGCACCCCTCTTCTAGGCCCCAAAGTCTGCATCAGTGAGTTTTATCATGAAACAAGTTACCTCAAAACTTCGTGGTTTAAAACAGTAATTATCTCAAGGTTTCTGTGGGTCAGGAACATGGAGTGGCTTAGCTGGGCGGCTCTGGACGGGGTCTGTCCCGAGGCCCCAGAGGAGATGGCAGCTGGGGCCGCAGTGGTCTGAAGGTTCGGGGCTGGGGACTGCACCTCTCGGTGCCCCGCTCACATGGCACAGGCGACTGGCTGCGGGCAGGAGGCCTCAGCTCCTCCATGTGGGTCTCTCCAGAGGGCAGCTCGAGTGTTCTCACAACATGGTAGCTTGCTTCCTCCAAGATAAATTATCCGAAAGAGCAAGGCGGAAGCCGCTGTGCCCTTTATGATCTAACTTCACAATCATCACATGCTGTCACTTCCAGAACACCTCACTGGTCTCCCAGGTCAGCCAGTTCATTGAGGGGAGGGGTTCTGAACAACCACATGTGTGAATAAGGAGGCGTGGATCTCCAGGGGCCATCCTGGAATCCCGCTACGTTGGACAAGCCATGTAGCCTTTCAGCTCCCCGCAGATGCAGCTGTGAGGATTAAGGGAACCCGTGTATCTCCAGTGCAGTAATTGCCGAGAGTGCGCGCTGGTAGCTCTGAGTGACAGTCTTTTGTGGTGTCCCGTCAGGCTGCCAGGAGATAGCCGAGGAGTTCCGTGCCCAGGAGATCGACGGCCAGGCTCTGCTGCTGCTCAAAGAAGACCACCTGATGAGCGCCATGAACATCAAACTGGGGCCCGCCCTCAAGATCTATGCTCGCATCAACATGCTCAAGGACTCCTAGGGCTGGCCGGGGCAGCCGGGGTTCTGGCCCAGGACGCCTCCTCCCAGCCGGACAGAGCCAGACAGACATTCCCAAGGGGCCCAGGCACGGGGCCAGTCGGAGGGCAGGGGCTCTCCCTGTGGGGCGTGGCTGCTGAGGAGGTGTTGGCACCTCCCAATGGCTCTCAGGGGCCTTTCTTTCTGTGGGAGGGGCAGAGAGGTAGGTGGCGCAGAAGATGGGGCTTTATGCTTGTAAATAATGATAGCACTGGCTTCTTCCAAAGTCCCAATACTCTAGCCCCGCTCTCTTCCCCTCTCTCTGTCCCCCATTTTCCAGGGGGTATACGGTCAGGGCTCCCCAACCTGAGTTGGGTTACTTCCAAGGGCGGCCGTCAAGCCTGGATAGAGGCTTTGAAAGCCCTTGCCTTCCACTTGTTTCTCCAGGCCCGGCTCACTCTCCTGCTGCCAGCTTCTCCCCCTTCAGCTTGTTTCTGAAGCAGCCAGGTGTTTCCCCTTCGCCCTCTGCAGGTGGAGAGAGAGAAGCTGGGCCCAGTTCGGCCGTGCCTGCTGGCACAGACGCCTTAAACGCTGTGTGTGTGACTGTGTGACTGTGTGGGAGCCTGGACTGACAGACAGGCCAAGAGCCGCCCTCTGGCATCTCCAGGTGTTTTGTAGCAGCCACTTAGTGCTTTGTCCTGGACTCCACTCGGCCTCAGGATGGGGAATAGAAAAGAAGGGCAGCCCCCGTGCAGAGAGGCAAGATCAGAAAGCGATGACGGTTAGACGTTCCTTTCCAGATTGGTCACGATATCTCTGAAGCCCCTTCCCCACACTGTGAAGTCCCCTTGCCTGCCCTGCTGTGTCACAAACAACCCTGAGGAAGCTGCCGGGGGGTGGGCTGGTTCAGGCTAAGCCTTCTGCCTGCCCACCCACCCTGGGAGCCCCTGTGGTGAGGCCCAGAGAACCTCCGAGGGGAGAGAAGAGCAGAGAGACCACTAACGTGAAGAAGGCAGCCTGTGGCCTCCCACTCCTACACTTTGCCTCCGGAACTTGGCGGCAGCAATCCGAGCTACCTGCGGAGGAGGAGGAGGAGGAGGGCGGGGCAGGAAGGGCGAGGGCCTGCCTCCGACTTGCCCTGTCCTCTGTAGGCTCCCCAGGGGAAGATTGGGCGTCTCCCCCAAAGAGGGTGGCCACCTCCCTCAGCTTGTTCTGTTCCCCACTCACACCCCAGGCAGGGTTGGAAATGAAGGACTTTTTTAACCTTTTTGTTTTTTTAAAAATAAATCTGTAAAACCTGTTTCTTCTGTGCCTTTCTTTCCTGGGGATGCCTGTCCCTGCAGGTCCTGAATGGCCACCTCTCACCCATCAGGAGAGGACTGGGTCCCTGGGCTGGGGCAGTGTCCCTTCTGTGCTTTGCTGGGGCCAGGTCACCTGAGGGCACCTTAGTCCCAGTTCTCACAGGAGCAGCACATTCAGCGTTCGTTCTTCACATGGGTGTCCCTTGGGGTGGGAAGGTCCAGAGCCCCTTCAGCTCTGAGGCCCCCTTCCCACCATTCCCTCTGGGGAGAAAGGGCACTACTGGGCCAGGAATATCTGGAACATCAGAGGCGGAACCCGGACCCTTGCCCCCCAGCAGACACCTCAGGTGGCTGCTGCTCAGTGTCCAGAATAGCTCTTGGAATGGCTTTGGTTCACTCAGCACTTTCTGAGCATTTTTTGGATGCCAGAATAGCAAATTACCAGAAAAGTCCTTGTCAGAAAAGAGGTAACAACTAAGTCTCAAGTGGAAGGGAAAGGGTGCCCCAGACCCAGGCAGCTCATGCAAAGGCAGGCATGGGATGGGGTGTGAGCACCGACAACACAGCAGCAGCTTGGGTTGGCTGTGCCTCTGTGAACCAGGCCTCGTGCTGGAAACGAGGCCTCCATGAGGAGCAAGACACTGCCGTTTGCATGGAGCTGAAAATTCCCCTGCATCTCCCAGGAGAAAGGAAGAGGAGGCCAACTTGGCCTCCTGCTCCTGGCCTTCTCTAGGTTTCTCCTTAAGACAGTGTTGCCATTTGTTTAAAACACAGGTTTTAGGCCCAGGCCTCAGCCTACTGAATCACAGAAGCTAATGGTAGGGTAGCCCTGGCAGATCAAGCCCATGAAAAAGGGCCAATACCCGCATCTTGATAATGCCTTTCCAGAAAGCCTGTTAAAATGTAACTACTACTTGGAAGACTAGGAGAAACAAACTGCTTGATTGCAGTTCACAAGTACTGCACTTTTTACAAATTGAAGGTTTGTGGCAACCTTGCCTCCAGCATTTTTCCAACAGCATTTGCTCATTTGGAGTCTCTGTCTAATCCTGGGGCAGATGCAATGGAAGGTGTCGATAATGACAACAAAGGATTTAGAATGTTACATAAACTTACTTGAAAAAAGTTCTGTGGGTTTAAAAATGCTACCAAACAGCATTACCTGCTACAGAGAAATTTGTGAAGGGAAGAGTCAATCAATGGGGCAAACTTCATTGTCTTATTTGAAGAAACTGCCACAGGCACCCCAGCCTTCCGCGACCACCACCCCGATCAGTCAGCAGCCCTCAACACAGAGGCAAGACCCTCCACCAGCAAAAAGATTCCGGCTCCCTGAAGACTGAGGCGATGGTTAGCATTTTCAGCAACAAAGTATTTTTAAACTACAGTGTTACATTACTCTAGACAATACTGTTGCACACTTAATAGGCTACAGTATAGTTAGTATACACCACTTTTATGTGCACTGGGAAACCAAAAAATTCACGTGACTCGCTTTAGTGAGACACTCGCTTTATTGTGGTGGTCTGTCACCAAACCGGCAGCATCTCCCAGGTGTGGCTGCAGCTGATGACCAGCGGGTGGAGCCAGGACTGGAAAGTCTAGTTGTTCCAGGAGTTAGGGAATGGCCAGCAGGTCGGGGCCCACACAGGCCCTGGGCTGCAGGTGAAATGGGAGAGCATAAAGAGCCTCGGGGGAGTGCCTGGTGGAGAGAGCGCCTAGGGTGCACTCTGGACCTTGCCTTTCCCCTCCCTGGGCGACGATGAAAGCTGGCCCCACCCGAGTTTGTCTTTATGCAGATGGTGGAGAAGGAGGGAAACAAAACTCTTCAAAAAGGACCTGGTGAGGAACAGATCTGAACAGGTAAATACTAGCACTACCTCCTTACTTGGGGGGAAAGGCCCCGGCCTAGCGTAAGTTTGAAGGGTGCGTCCTTAAATACATATTTGTTCCTGTTTACACAGAATTTTTCAAACCTTTTTTTGATCACGATCCACAGTTTTAAAAAATGTTTCCGACCTCCATATACAGACTTAAATATATATAATTCAAACAAAAATTTCACAAAACAATGCCTACCTTTAATGTACAATGTATTTTGATATTTTCAGTTCTCTTCCTGTTCTTTTCAAATTTTGGTCACCATCTATGAAACTGATTTCATGGTCCTCAGACAGATTCCAATCTACATTTTAAAAAAAAACCCTGCCCAATGCAAACTTTTCAGACCTATCCCATATCCACGATGTGGTGTGGCCCTTAACACTTGCCTGGGTGACTATACCCCATTTTACCGAGGCGGGGAAAGGACTCCTCAGGGTGAACTGTCCAAGATCACAATTGGAAGACCAGTAGAACAAGGTGTCCCTGGGTGGCCTGACCTGTAGATCCTGCCCTGACCAGGGCTGAATACTCTGCAAGGGGCACAGGCAGCCCTGGGAGGAAAGAGGAGTCAGTACAAAATAGCTCAGAGCCTCTGCCAATCAGAGCTGGCCTTGCTCAGGTCCACGCTCTTCCAGGTGATTGGCCCCAAGGGGGTTCCCAGCCCCCACCCCACCCTGGGGCCAGCTCCCTCCAGCAGGTGCCGCCCCTGAGCAAGTCCCATTCATCCCTGCTTGCACCCGTGGGGTGTGGTTCCAGGTGGCCTGTAACTGCTTTGTCCCAGTCACCAGGAACAGGGTATTCGTCTCCTGGCTCTGAGCTGAGAGAGTTCTTGGAGGGTTGTCCCCACAGCTTCTTGGCATGGCTCTCAAAGAGGGACTCAGGTGAGTGGAGACACTGCCAGTGTCGGCGGGGGAAGTTAGGGTGGGGTCACCAAGGCGGCCCTGGGAGAAGGTGACTCTGAGAAGGAACATGGCCCAAGGGGAGAGGTGACGGGGAAGACCCCGGAGACCTCGCAGCCTGCCGAGTGCTGGGTAAACCCTGTCCTCTCCTAACTCGGAGCGCCCGGGTGAGCCCGGGCACGAAGACCAAGGGGCTGCGGCCCGCACTGTAACTGTGCGTTCCCTGTATTCCCGTGGGAGTGACTGTCCAGGACTGCACATTTGTTCCCATTTAAGACCTAATGACTGATCTTTAATCCCTTCTTGAAAGGACAAAGAGAACATAATGGGGTGGGCTTGAGGGACCACCTTCTGCTGGTGGAAGGGGGGTGGAGGGGGTCCTTTTGAAAATACCTGAGAAAAGACCGTGGAGGAAGGGGTCAGACAGGGCCTTACAGACTAAGGGCTCCCAGGCTGGGGCACAGGAAGGGCGAGCTGGCCGGCACCTACTGCAGGCTTGGGTCTCCAACCCTCCCGGGCCTGATGGTTTGAGCCCACTTGGGGTCAGCTCTGCCTGGCTGCCCTGGTTGAGGCCCAGTGCCCAAGACACGCACTGGCTTGCCCAGCCCTGGTTGGGAGGGTCGGGATGGCGGTGAGCAGGAAGGAGTCTGCTCCAGCCTTTTCCTGCCCAGCCGCACAGGCAGCGCTTCCCTCCCGGGCAGCCGTGCTTCTGGGAGGGACGGGGCAGGTGCGGGGGGGGGGGGGGGGCGGTGGCGGGAGGACCCTTGTGCGGCCTGCCCTCTAGGAGCCCAGCATGGAGCTGGAGTGAGGAGAGAGAAAGGCTTTTGCAGGAGAAACGCTGATTTGCAGAGAACGTGAGGAGCCTTGGGAGGAGCCAAGCCTGTTGAGGGGATAATAACAGGGACCCTAGGAAGACGAGCCTCATGGCTGAGCCGAGGCCAGGTCATAAGGAGCCGCCAACGCCGTGCTCTGGCTTGGGGTCAGACAGATCTAAGATCGACCCTCAGCTCCAACACTTAATATCACCTTTTGCTGTGTATAATGAGCACTTATTTGCCCAAATATTTTGAGGAAAAATAAGGATACACATTACACATGGGTATGAGAATCCTGTGTGCATTATAATGCGCACAAAAACATGGGTGGGCATTATACACGGCAAAATGCGGTAGCTGTGTGACCCTGAGCAACTGATCAACCTTTCTGAGCCACAGTTCCCTCACTTATAAGGTGGAAGTAACCGTAGCATCTTCTTCAAGGGGTCGTGGTCAGGCTTCCATGAGATAGGGACATAAAACTCTTGGCAGAGCGTCTGCCTCAGCAAATTTCTGGCATTATTCATAAAGAGCGCAGGGTGGACCCTAAAGAAAATGGAATTTTAAGCGCAAAGGAGTAACTGTCAGTTCAGGAAAGAAAACGAAGACAAGGAACCCACTGATTACCTCATTACTGAACAAATAACTATTAATACTGCCAACTATGAGGCAGGCTCTTAGGTTTGGCACTGAGAATCTGAAGTCTAATAAAACATAAAACACACAGCCTAGTAGGGCAGCCAGCTACAGTCCAGTTTGGCAGGTGCTAGTGTAGAGGTTTGCACAGGAGGAGCTCCGGAGAGGGCAAGTGTTGGAGGGGAAGGTCAAGGAAGGCGTCCCAAGGGGGAAGCTGGGTATTGAGGAATGACCGAGAGCTTGGTGGTGGCTCAGAGGAAAAGAGCAATCTGAGCAAAGAAATAGAGGTGAGAGCCCACAAAGTTAAAACAAGTCTAGGACACTTCACAGGATGCAGACCGCAAGGCACGTTAGGAGATAGTCGCAGGACTCTATCTGGATGAGAAACGATGAGGCAGGGAGAGGCCAGTGGGGTGGTGAGGGGGGAACTTAGGGCTCTATGAGGGAGACAAATGCAATGGGACTTGGTGACTGAATGGCTCGAGGAGGAGGGAGAAGGGGTCCCAATAATGGTGAACGCAGAAGGAAGAAGAGATCAGGGGCAATGCAAAATGCAGGTTTGCCCAGAGTTTGAAGTGCCTATGGGACCAGATAGACACAGCATTCCAGGACACGCAGTGCCTAAGTCCGGTGCTCATCAAAGGGCTACGCCAGACACAAAGACTTTGGAATCACTGGTAGAGAGAAGCCAGGGGGTGAAAGACGGTGCACAGAATCCTGACTGAGTTCCCAACGACAAGAAGGGCAAGCCATGCAAAGGTGAGCAAGAAGGCTGGGGCTGGAGCACAGCGGGGAGCACACGAGAGACCGCAGGAGCCAGGTGCAGGGGGCTTTGCAGACCAGGCCCCAGGTTTGGGTCTAACAGCAGTGAGAAGTCACTGGGGAATGGGTTGTTGGGAGGCTAGAGTGGAAGCAGGGAGAGTGGAAGGGGTGCTACGGAGGCTGTCCGGACAGCGGCCTAGAGCGCAGCGAGAGGAGGTGAAGGCACGTGCATGGGCTGCCGCGAGTTTGTGGGAGAGCCCACAGGGCTCGCTGGTGGACTGCACGTGCGGCATGAGCGGCGGGACGAATCGGGGCTCCCGCGCCTTCAGTCTGAGGAATGGGATCTATCATCGCGATGGCACTTTCCAGGAAGGAGGAGACCTGAGTGGGGGCAGGTTTCTGAGGAAAATTCAGAGCCCCCTCTGGCCAAGTTTGAGATGCTTGTGCGATATCCAAGTGGAGAGATCAGGTGGCACCAGTGCCCCAGGCGTCCTCTGTCACTGTACCAATGATGTCCAGATCCGTCCATCAGAGGCTCCAGGCCATGACCAGGCCCGCACCCCACTTCCAGGAGGGAAGTCCGATAGAGGGTGTGGTATCTTAAGAAAGACATTTGGTCACTTTTGCGCACTGTTGTTTCCTTTTCATAGACCTCCCTTTCCCCTCTACTACCTTCTTTGCTTGGATACCTTCTTTGCTTGGATACCTCAGGTCCTAGCTTAGGGGTCACCTCCTCCAGGAAGCTTCCCTGACTTCCCTCCTGCCAATGTGCAGGTGCCACTCTCCAATTTGCCCTCATAGCTTCTTGTGTTTATATTAATCACAGCCTTCACTGTGCAGTGTTCCATTCATCTGTCTGCTGCTGTCAACTGACCATTCCCTGCCCTCACGGCCACCTACCTGCCTTACTCTACTCCCTGAAGACAGGTCCATGTCTGACTCCCCTCCGAAACCTTGACCTAGCACAGCATTTGATTCCCAGCTTGTACCCCATAAATCGAGGTTGAATGCATGAGCAGACACTGGTGAACGCCTGGATGCACAAACTTTTTCCACACTGAAGATGATCTCCTTTGAACAGATTCCCAGAAGCTGAAGTTATTGGATTAAAGGGGATGAAGACTGAAAGCTTCAATTCCCGTAGCTAAGTAGCTTTCCAAAAAAAGAAAAGGCTGCGGCCCTCCACGCTCCTGGCTGGCAAGCGTCAGAGTGCCTCCCTCACTGCATTCCTACAGTGTGGCTAATTTTATTTCATTTCAAAATGTGCTCATTTTATAGGCAAAACATGCCACCTTGTTCTAATTTGTATGTCTTTGATTACTGACGAGGGTGGACATTTTCCCATGTTTGACTATTAAATGCATTTCTTCTTTGAGGATTTGCCTGGTCATGTGACAGAGAAACTGTTAAGGCAGGTTGGCATTTTCCTAGATGTTCTGGGGGCCTGTTTGGGGAATGACTGGAAGCACGAATGGTCCTGGTGAAGGACGAGCAGGCAGGGTCCCTGTGGGGGCTGGGGAGACAGGAGGCGCAGAGAGGGAATAATAGTATTATTCTCGTTAACTCTCTGTTCAGGAATAATAATAGAGTTTACTGAGCCATGTCTACGTGTGAGGCCTTGTTTTAATCACTTAGCATGTAATAATAACTCAATAACCATGACAGCCCTCTCAGGTAGGTATTCTTACTATCTGCGTTTTATAGATGAGGAGGCTAAAGGCCAGACGCCCAAAACCGTGCTCCTGCTCAGAGAGCTAATAAGCGGGGGACCTGAGATCCGAAGCCAAGGGTCTGGCCCCAGTGTCCTTGCTTCTCGCCACATGGGCCCAGCCTCTCCAGAGACAGGGGCACAGAGCAGGGATGGGCAGGGCTGGAGGAGACCCCCAGAAGGAACTTACTAAGATTCTCAACTTTGGGGGCCCTTCCTGGATAACGACCAGCCATGGACAAATCCCAGGGTCCACCTTCTCTGGGCCAGAAGCGGGGACGCTGAGCTCTGCGGGAGGAACCCAGCCGGGTGGCTGTAGCCACGACAGGCAGACACACGGTGTCTGACCCCAGCTGCCCTCCCTGCAGCCCAGCAACTCATCCCTAAGTCCCAGGCAGCTCTCACCTTCCAGCCACCAAGCCGCAGACTCCCCTGCGCCCCTCCCAGACCCTCTACCACCCAAGGTCAGCCCAGCCCCTGCCCCGACTACGCACCCCACAACCAATGTTACCAACCCCAAACCGGCCTGAGGCCATGCACCCCAGCACTACTGGGAAAAGCAAAGGATATACATCTAAACGCTCATCAGAAGGGACCTGGTCAGGTAAAGTATGCTATTGCCAATCAATGGAAAAAAGGGTAAGGAAGCAAGCGCTTGAAGTACTGAGCAGGAATAACCTCAAAGAGATAATGGTCAGTGGAAAATGCAAGGTGCAAAAACGACTGTCTACAGTGCTTCCATCTGTGGGGGGAGGGGAGAAGAGAGGGAGATAAAAACCATTCCAGGGTAAAAAAAGAAAAGAAAATGAAAGGGGGAGAGAGACGGGGAGGGGGAGAGAATTTGCTACCATGTTTGCACGTTGCCTGTCTGTGCACAGACTCTGGAAGGACACACAGGAAACTGGTGACAGCAGCTGCCTCCGTGCAGAGGAGCCGGGTGTCTGGGAACAGAAAAGACCTTGTACTGTACATACTCCTGTAGCTTTGAATGTCTGTACCATGTGAAGATAGTATGTTTGTATTCAAAAAAACAAATGACATTAAATTGCACAAATAATTTCTCATATGTGTCTATAGACAGCCGTGCGTACATAAATATCAACAGAGGCATAAAGAGTATGTTGCTGACACCCTCTCCATCCCCCAGGGCCTGGAAGAGGATCTTCTGGCGGCTGATCCTACTTGCAGTTGGCTTCTCAGGGCTGCTCCTGCACGGACTCCTCCCCACAGTCAGGTACCGCCCCGTCCCCAGCACTGCAGCTGGGGCCTGCGCGGGCAGGAGTCAAGTGGGTCTTTCCAAGTGCCTGCTTGAGGGATGGAGGGTGGTGGCGAGCCCGGCCAGCACACATGTCCTGTGGGCTCTCCCTCCCTGGATGGCCATGCCCCTCACTGCTGCCCCCGCCCAACAGATATCTGGAAACCCTCATCCCTATGGGCACCTGCCCTTTCGCCAAAATGTCCCTGCTGAGGGACAATTTCTCGGGTCTCCTGCGTCTCTGGTAAGGAGATACTGTCCCCCCCACTCCGAGATCACCCATATCCCCTAGAGTATGTGCCCCAGAGTCCCTGCCCTCCTCACAGCCTCCACCCTGGCAGAGCCAGGGGCTCCACCGAGTGGCCCCATGGATCAAACACCTCCCCATCCTCTGTGCGGGTCCTGGACTAGGGAGGGGGTATGCCCCACCTGGGGGTCCCTAGGGCCCAGCGTGGAGAGATGGCAGTGAGCACTGTGGAGAGGGAGGGGGGACGGACCTCTCTCTCATCTCTGTCCTGGCCAGGACCCGGCCTGAAGTCCTGACCTGTACCTCCTGGGGGGCCCCCATTATCTGGGATGGCACTTTCGATCCAGATGCGGCCCAGCAAGAGGCCCTACAGCAGAACCTCACCATTGGGCTGACTGTCTTTGCTGTAGGCAGGTAAGGCCCGGGGAGGGGAGCAGTGCGATCCAAGCAGGGAGAGGGAGGGGGGACATGTGATGTGGGCAGTGTGCACCCGGTTCCCTGTGCCAAAGGATCCCAAGGCGATGTGGGAGGCAAAGACAGCACGCTTGTCCCCGGGGGAGGGCAGGGCCATCCTCCCTCCTGTCCTTCCTGGACAGGCACACTGTGGAGCCCCTCGCCCCGCACAGGCAGCCAGGGGCTCAGAACCATGTCCTAGAAAGAACCTGCCCAGGAGCTGGTGGTCCATCTGGAAGCGTCGGGTTTATGGTGAGAAAATGATGGCGTCTTTCAGGTGAGGATGGTGAGACAGAGGGAGAGCAAGTGAGTGGATAGAGGAAAGGGTCCGACTGCAGTAAGTGCCCACCGGAGGTCAGCGGCTCAGACGCAGGCACAAAGTAAGGCGCAGGCACAAAGTAAGGCGCGGGGAGGCTTGCCGGCAAGCCTGCCGGAGAAGGGGCTGGGGAGCTGAGGGTTTCTGCAGGGAAGTCAATCTGAGCTGGGCAGAAAGTGTGGGCTGGAGGGCGACGCTGAGAAAGGGATCCAGACCTGAGCACTTGGCACAGAAGGACCGCTGGGGAGGGATATCACAGGAAGAGGGGGCCAAGGAGCGGGACAGACTGATGATGACCAGGCCAAGGGAGCAGACATGGGGGCAGGTGACCGACAAGGGTGGAGGACAGAATCACGGCAGGAGAGGAGGCCAATCAAGGGCCACAGGCGCCCCAGGTATGGAGAAGGAGCGGAGAGGTGGGTGGAGGAGAAAACCCGGGGGCACTGTCATCCCCACTGGGGATGGCCGGCATGTGCAAGCTGGATGCACACCTTCCAGGTGCAAAGGGGACTCCTGGCTGAGAGTGGCAATCAGAGCCTGTAACCCTAAGTAAGGTGGACAGAGGTAGAGTTCAGGGCAGTTAAAGGAAAAGTTGGTAATAATGGAACACACTGTTTGGGGAATATAGAATTTTGTATCCAGGAAGAGATAGCATAATTGTGGGGAAAGAATTATGTCGTTGGATACCCCAGAGTTCCTTCAACTCCTACCCCACATTCTAGAAGAGAGAGAAAGCCAGTAGGGCCCCTGAGGGGGTGAGGGTGCAAACAGGACCAAGGGCTGCCCCCGGGGCCAGCTGGGCAGAACTGCTGGCCTCTCCCAGAGCCTCGGTGCCCCGCTTCAGTTCTGGACATTAAGCATGACATTCTGCACCCGCCCCCGGGGTCAGAATCTCCAGGTCCAGAAATTCCAGGGTCTTGAGATCTGAATTCCGAGATTTTGTCAAACACCCGGGGACACTGAGGCTTCCAAGGCCTCTGATTCCAGTCTCTCACACATCTACCAGGAACAGAGTATGCACAGGTAAAGATTCCAGCTCCAGTGCCAATCTGGGTTCAGACCAAAGCTCTGGGACTTACCAGTTGTGTGTATTCTGGCACCAGTTCACCAGTCACTAAAGCTCTTCATCACTCAGCTCCCTCACCTGAAAAATAGAGACAATAAATGGTGAGGATTAAATGCAATAATGCACAGTGACTTAGAACACTGTCTGCCTCATGATGAATGGTCAGCGATATTAGGCATTATTATTATTATTTCAGAACCCTGGGGTCCAAAGTCTCTTAACACAACGTTTCTGATACTATAAACTTCCTGGTTATCTATGTAAGGAATTACCACAAACTTGGGGACTTAAAACAACAATATATTAGCATCATAGCTCACGATTTTGTGGGCCAGGAATTCCAACCAGGCTCCACAGAGGTGCTCCCCACTGTCTGGGACTCCACTGCGATAGCCCACGGCTAAAGAATGGCAGGGCCCCTAGCTCCACACAGCCTCTCTGCCTGGCTGGTTTGGGCTTCCTCCCTTGGCTGCAACATCCAAATTCTGGGATTTACATAAGCAAACGCCCCAGAGCTCTAAAGGGACAAAGGCTAACGCTGCACCACTTCCTAGGGAGAGCCCCTGTTCCTGGGAGGGAAGGCAGGGCCCCTGAGGGCAGGTGTGGCAACCAGTTTGCAATCATCTTTAATCGGCTCACCTGAGTCTGGGATTGGAGCGTTCAGGAGCTCGGGGGACTGAGGGTGCAGGGTTAATGCAGAGAAGCAAGAAGCCGAAGTCGGGGTGGGGAGACGAGTAGGAGCGGAGGGGATGAGGAGCACCGTCCAGGCCCCCCCTAGGCGCCCCCTCCAGACTGACTCCGGCCCCGCCCGGCCCTGCAGGTACCTGGAGAAGTATCTGCAGCACTTCCTGATGACAGCCGAGCAGCACTTCATGGTGGGCCAGCGCGTGGTCTACTACGTGTTCACTGAGCGCCCGGCTGCGGTGCCTCGCCTGCGGCTGGGCCCGCGCCGCCAGCTGCGCGTGGAGCCGGTGTCCCGCCAGCAGCGCTGGCAGGACGTGTCGATGGCGCGCATGCGCACGCTGCACGCGGCGCTGGGCGGCCGGCTGGGCCGCGAGGCGGACTTCGTGTTCTGCATGGACGTGGACCAGTACTTCAGCGGCGCCTTCGGGCCCGAGGCGCTGGCCGACTCGGTGGCGCAGCTGCACGCCTGGCACTACCACTGGCCGCGGCCGCTGCTGCCCTATGAGCGCGACGCGCGCTCGGCCGCCGCACTGTCGTCCGACGAGGGCGACTTCTACTACCACGGGGCCCTGTTTGGGGGCACAGTGGCGGCGGTGCGCGGGCTGACGGCGCACTGCGCGCGGGGCCAGGAGCAGGACCGCATGCGCGGCCTCGAGGCGCGCTGGCACGACGAGAGCCACCTCAACAAGTACTTCTGGCTGTACAAGCCCGCCAAGGTCCTGTCGCCTGAGTTCTGCTGGAGCCCGGAAATAGGCCGGCGGGCCGAGATCCGCCGCCCGCGCCTGCTCTGGGCGCCCAAGGAGTACGCTCAGGTGCGCGACTAGGCGCCAGGGCCTTGCCTCGCCCCACCTGCGGACACCTTGGGCGCTGGGAGGATGTGGAGCGGGCCCAGCAGCGAGGAGAGACCCTGAAGCCATCGGGGATTCTTCTGAAAGCAGCATGGCACTTTAGAGGACAAGGAGAGATGGGATGAAAACAGCTCTATCACCTCCTACTTGTGGGAGAAGGACGCCCTGGCCTGGAGAGTGTTTTGCGCTGGTCCCAGCCTATGAACAAAGGTGTGGTTGGGCCTGCGCACGTGGGTTTTTTTTGTTTTTGTTTTTGTTTTTTTTATGATTGCAAGGTGTCCTTCAGCAAAAACCATCAGGACACTGAAGAGAATAAAGGCTTATTACCTACAGGACCCAGAAATGACACAGCACACCTGGGGCCGCACAGCAAAGGTCTCAGCAGAGAGAGAGGGCAGGCCTGGGGTTCCGTTTTTCTTGGGATCAAAGGTAGGGTTCTAAGGTTTCGAGGACACTTTTGGTGAATTCGAAATATAAGAGCAGGAATTTAAAGTTGAGGAAGAGGACAAACAAGGGGCCCAAAGCGGTCAGTTACTGTAATCAACCAAGATCCCTCATACAAAGGAGCCTCGGTGCGGGGGTGGGGGATGTGGCCTGGTTCTCTAGTGGAGATATTTATTGGAGATAACTCTGTCTGAAGTGAATTTGTTGGCAATCAAAGCTTAAATCAGGCACTTGCATTACAAAAAGGAAAAGAAAAAGCTTTCAGGTGGGGAGCTTCTCACTTGTAAGATCTCCTTCCCCTCATTTTCAACAGGGACTGAGGCGAACAGACCCTTCACCTCTGACCTTACTGAATCCAGGGGATGCCTCCTGAGGAGGTGTTTTAGCAACTCCCCCGCCCCACCTTTCTGTGAGGACATGGAAGCCCAAAAAGGGGACATAACTGCCCGAGGACACAGAACCGACAGGAGTCTGGAGTCTGTGAGGGCAGCTGCTGGAGCCCTGGGCCGCTGCCCACAGAGTGTGGCCTGGGGGCACAGGCCACGGGGGTTGGGGGGAGATGCCAGCAGCATCGGCTCCTCGGCTAGACTTTTCAAAATGTCCCTCGTCCCCAAGCATAGTTTGTGCATATTTAAGTAATATTATTGTGAGCGAAAAAGGGTCTGTGCAATAAACGGGGCACATGGCAGGCCTGGCGAGAAACTCCACATACATTCCTAACTGGGCAGATGGTGCTGGGTGGTCCCATCCCAGGCCTGTAGCTTCTTTAGCCAAGGTCAGTCTATAGCTCAGCGGAGCCCTGTGCACTGTTCTCATGCATCCAGGGCAACACACCTTTGAAAGGTCAGAGTGCTTTTCTGCTCCCCTCAAAGGCACAGCCACAGGCACCAGAGCACAGGGCCGCCGGAGCCCCTCACGGTTACCCTGTTCCCCGCACACCGTCTGTATGTGCTATAAATGGTAATTAGCAACTATCCTGGACCCACCAATGTAAAATTATCTGTTTCTCCATTTTTCTTTTTATCCAGTCTTAGAGATTTCCCCACTTTGCTTCCTCCCACTGCCCTGCTCCACCACCCATGGATTGCATGTACCCTCCTTACATTTTCCCCCTTTGATTCTGAATGCAGAAAAGGGACTGCACAACGGCCTTTTTCCAGAGCATTTTCATGGTCCTCTGAGATTTTGCTTCCAGGCATGTCCTCAAAATTTGGTTCAGATAAACTCTTAGACGACTTTTCTATAGGCCGGGAGTTCTTCTGTTGGCATTAAAATAAAATAATTATTTGAAACGTTTCCTTGTGGCCCTTTTCCCTGGAAAGTCAAAGTCCACAAAAGTGGCGTTTTCTCGTGCTGGCGCTCACAGGTCTCTTTGGCTACGGTATCTAGGAGAGAGCTTTTCTCATCAATGGCTGCTGTCCAGACTCTTCATCCTCAATAGGAAAAACACAGGCTCTAAATAGGAGCATGAAGCCATCAGGTCCTCCAGGAAAGGTGGTCACAGAGCCAAGGAGACAGGAAAGGTAACTGCTGGGCTATTAAATAGCCTGAGCTATTTATCTGACAGCTGAGAACACCGAGACGCTGGGAAGGTGGGATTTCACTCCAGGTCTCCTGAATCCTTTATGTAGTTCTCATAGACTTGCATTTTTACAACCTCCATTCTACCCAGGTAGGATAGCAGGTCCAGCTGTAAACCAGTCCTGATGGTGTTTACAATCTTAGTAATTTTTATAAGCAAGTTCCAGTTATCAATGATGTGAAATAAAAGCTCTCTCCCTTCTCAAAAGCACTTTCAGGTTCCCTAGTGCCTCCTACCTAAACTACAGAAGCAAAACCCAGAAGGCCTTTTGACCACTGGACTAGAGAGGAGGACAGGCCAAGCGCGCCCAAGAACAGGTTATTGCTTGATGACTATGATCTGGCACATCGCCTCCTCTGGGTCCATGCCCCCATCCCGTCCACTAAGGGTCGCATACAACCCTGGGGCACTGGAGACCTGAGCGTGAGCGGGTAAGACCTGGGTGGGAATCGGCTCCCCTTCTAGCTCTGCGTGTGGCTCTGGACACATTCCTTACCTTTGCTGGGTCTGTTGGCTCATGGTAAGCGGAGATGCCAGTTGCCCTGCCTGCAGGGGCTGGGCTGTCGTGCTCCAGAAAACAACTTTTCTCCTCCCTCTCCTAGCCTGCCCCTTCTCCAACAGGTTCATGCAGTACAAAGAATTCGCCAAAGAACATCATTTTATGTTTGAAAGGAAAAATAATGGCACAATCAGAGATTTCTAAGTGCTGGGCTCAGGCAGCCTCACCTGTGGGGGAAGACCCTCCTGAGGAAGGGGAGGGGTCCAGGAAGCTACAGGGTGGAGCAGTGGACAACTTCTTGGGAACAGCTCCCTCCTTGTCTTACGCCGAGGCCTAAGGTGGGGGTGGGGACAGTTGGGGGGACTGGGCAGAAGCAGGAATAACAAGGGGCTCAAGTTCCTTCTGCAGCTACTTCTCTGGCCACCGACACTGTCCTCAGCACCTCTGCTGCAGCCCTCAGGGACAGTGGGAGCTCCTGAGAGCCCCCAGGCAAGCAGGGGAAGATCAGACGCCCCTCGCCCTGAGTGCCACCGCTCCTGCAAAGTCCTCACATGTCCCAGCCGCCCCACCCCACTGTGCCAGCTCAGGTGCTGCCCCCAGAGATTCCCATCTTCCGCTGCCTAGTCAGGCTTCACTGATCAGAAGGGACATAGATCCGCCAGGGCTACTTCAAATAGTAGCAATCACAACTACATTTATCGGGCACTTCCTAAGTTCTTGGCACAGTTCTAAGCACTAGACATGTACTGATTCATTTAATCCTCTCATCCACCCTATAAATCAGCGACTATGACATCCCTTATGTTAAGTATGAGAAAATCGGCACAGAAAGATTAAGGACCTACCCAACGTTATACCACTAGCAACTGAATTCACTGAAGTGAGAACAAGCAGGAAATTAAACTTGGCCAGAAGGTAGAGACTGAAAGCCGAGAACTGAGGCTGCCACTGGCTCTTGGCCTCCTCCGGCTTGTCACTGCTGCCTTCTCCCTCCTGTGTCCTGCCTATGTCTGGCCCATCACAGCCCACCCGACCCCTAGTCCACAGGGTTTGCCCATTCAGGTGCCCACCGCCTCCTAACTTGTTCTTAATTCATGGGATAGAAACTCTGTTTGAAGAGTCAGCCAGTGGTATGCTGGTAAATGTTTAGCCACTGGCTCTGTGAGGAAAAAGCAAGCCCCAGTCTGCAGGGATTTACACCAGCAGGTAAACCTCGCCACGGTTGACTTCAAACTCTCACTGGGTGCAGAGTTGCAGAGGTATGCACCGTCCACGCTCATGAGCCAGGACAGCCAGCACGGCAGGTCTTTGAATAAACGTTCTTTTGGTCCATGTCATTTCCATATAACGTTGATGGGAACACGGTAGCAACTTAACTTGTTTTTCCATCAGTCTATAGTGAAATTGGTTTCATTGTACGTTGTTTCACTTAAAAGTCACAGAACCTACCACAATGTCAAGTGAGGACTTAACTGTACATGCCACTGGGACCACTGGCCTGGGAGGCAAGTCGATGAGTCAGACGGCCACACCTGGCCCATCAGCTGTGGCTGGGATAGTCGTGTGACAGAAGGCCAGAGCCCACCCCTTCGCCACATAAGCAGGCTGTGGGAGGTCAGTTCCGGAGAGAAAGGTGAGTCCTATGAGATTACTTAAAACATGTCCTTGGCTACTCGTCCATGTCCCCTTCTCATGGTCCATTCTGGTTTCCTCCTGGGGCGATGGCTTTCAGATACGGGTCTCACCCTCTGCGCCAGGTGCAGAGCATGGGTGCTAGGCCTCAGCCAATCGAGCACAGACATTCTGGTCACAGTGACTGTGTCAGGGATGGTACGTGACCCCATTCAAACCAGGAAGACCCGATTAGGCTTTTGCTGGGACTTCAGGGAGGGACAGAGGCTTGGTGGCTGGGAACCTGGGGGCTGTGAGGTTGCAGCTGCCGCCTCCACAGAAGCTGGAGGATAACACTGACTGGGAACAAAGCCAAGTGGAGAGACATATCATTGAGCCCTGAAGCTGACCTGATTCTGCAGTTGTTAAGCTAATAAATCCTCATTTGCATTGGGCTTTCTACACCTTGCAGCCATGTGTCCCATGCACAAGGACTGCGAAGCTAATAAATCCTCATTTACATCGGGCTTTCTACACCTTGCAGCCATGTGTCCCATGCACAAGGACTGCGAGCGAGGGCAAGGGCTCGGGCTCGAGGGAGTGAGCTCCTGAAGGTCAGCCCCAGAGAGACTCACGGCTGAGTCACTGCTGATCTCGCCCATCATGCCTAACACAGGGCCAGCCTTGATAACCTTTGAGGGGATTAATTCCTGCATTTCTCTCCTAAGCAATCAAAACATTGGCCTCCATGGGGCAAACACGTGTGAAGGGGACTTCTTGGTCCCCTCAACCACAGAAATAGCTTTCACAAATTAGGGCATTCATCCCTAACGAGGGGTG